GTGCAAAGGAGCCAAGCCTAAAAAGAAAAAGAACATGGGTTCCAACCACTGCCCTACCGCCGCTCAAGCCCTAATCTTCTAGAAGCCTCGTTCAAGAAGTTATTAGTTTACAAGGACTATGAAACCCCTTTCCAGTAACTTTATGAGAGATTTACCCGATTTCTTCTTCTATATATAGAGGGCACGACTCATTAGTTCATTAAGGATGCACAACCACCCAAAAACTTTTGTACTCTCATCGATGGTGGTACCCTAATTCTCTTCTATGTAGCTAGTTCGAAATTGATTGTATGAGGATGTGAACTTGTTTATCTTTATGTGAATGAGTGCTATGATTTTATGTCATGCATGGATGCCTTGTTTTCGATGCATATGAGATGTTCATTGTTGTTTATGTAGTATGAATGTTCCTTTATCATCAATGCTTATGATTCTATGACATGCTACTATATGCATTGTACTTAGTATTATCTAGGTTGTCAGGAAATTACTCTCTAGTGATACCCCATTGATGCTACAAGAGTATAGAGGGAATGATGAACCATATATACCTTGATTAGTATCAATGTTTGATTGTTAGATCATCGATTCTATATACCATCGATTATGGCTCGTAGAGACCCACACTTAATCATATCCTATTCTAACTTCCTTGTTCTTCATTAATTAGGTGATGACATGAAGCAAAATCACGCATTTGCTAGTAAAATCTCTATCACAAATAGGTGCATGCATGGGTAGAGAGTGGCCTTAGTGGGAGGGATAGTGTGATACCATAAATGAACCATTGATGCATAATGTGAATGAGCCTTAGTATGCATGATAGTATTCGAGTTTGCCTACAGCCTACTTATACAATAACGTATTTTTACTTTGATGCATCTGTAAATCTAAAAACCCCTAAACGAATTTACTGTTATTGTTTTTATTTGAATGAAAACCCTTAAATATTTCTCTATAGGTTCCGTGTGAGTATTGGATGATTTGGTGTGAGTATTTATGCATCAGAAGCCTCATGGAATAAGACCATAGGCATTCCTAGGATTTTGTGTTTACTACATCACGCGGAACCATGATGATCTCACCTCAACCTCATCTTATCTCCTTTTCTCAGTGACATTATTTTATTAGATCATAGATTTATGGCAAAAAACACTTGTATAACCAAAACTTTCGCGTTTGTGACAATAATAGCTAATTTTGGAGAAATACCACTTATAGCCAGAATTTTGAAAGTTTCATGACAAATATAGCCATTTCTGTTACAAACTTTGACGGGGTTAAAAACTCCCGTGAGTTAGGTTAACATTAGGCTGATTAGGATGCCAAATCATCACACACGTCAGTGACAACTCATCCGTTGATGACACCTAGACGCCACGTGTTATTTTAATTGAAAATTAAAATGAATAATTTTTATTTTTATTTAATCACAAAATTGAATTAAAAAAAAACAAATCTGGTGATCCCTTTTACAAATCTCGCAGATTTTGAAGCTTCCAAAATCAAAACAAAATTCGATTTTTCCTCTCATCCCCTTCACAATCGAAGAACTTCCTGCCACACAATCATCGCCAGCTTCAACCCACATCATCATCATCTTGATTCTTGTCTTCATCTTCGTCCACTTTCACCAACTCTTGAACTATTTGGTGCTCTGAATCCAGATCGATTGAAGGAAAAACATGCATATTAGGTTGAATCCATGTCTCTAACAAACCAGGGGGGAATAGAAGCAGAGATCAAGAGGACTCGGGCCGACGAGGAATTTGGGATTTCCGCCCCATAACAGATCTGTTAAGATCTGCTAGTCTGTTGTCGGTCTGCTGCTCTCCAATAACAGCCGCCAACAACTGGAAACAGAGAGCTGGAATCCAGTCCTCCCTCAAAGCTCGAACGAAGCGCCGTTGGGAACCCTGGTTCTGGGTTTCGATTCATGTATTGAAGGCCCTGCTGATCGCGGATTGAACGAAGTCGTCGCAGTGGAGTAGAGAAGAAGTAGAAGCCAACACCGCCACAAATGCTAGCTTCATGCTTTTTTGCCTAGTCGCCGATTCCGCAGTCGGCAGTAGCGACTGACATCTCCCAATCGATCGCTCCGTCTCCCAATCGCACCCATGGCCATCACCATTTACTGGGTCAGATCGGCGGCATCGATTTCGCAGCCGTCAGCAATGACTTCCATCTCTGGTGTCCAGAGGGAGAAGCAGAGAATGAGGCAAAATACATAGCTGCCGGGAAGCTCCGACAGTGCGAGGACGTCTTCATCGGATTCATCTGCGGAGGATACTCGATCTCCTCTACAAACCCGATTTCGCAATCGGGGGCACGAAATTGGGTCGTCATCTTGTTGTGCTTGACTTCGCATTCGGACGAATCGATTGCAGCGGTAGCACCCCTAGGACGGCCTGGGTGACGATCGACATGAGAATGAATCTATATATATATCAATACTATTTTTCCGGCGGTCAGATCTGAAAAGAAGAAAGCTAAGCGGCGAAGACCGCCTTTGTTGGAAGAGAGGAAAAAAGGAAAATGGGATTTCAACGGGAGAGATAAAAAAATGAGTGGTGGGAGAAGAGAGAGAGAGTCGTGTGAGTTTCTTTTTTGTTAAATGGGTTTCTTTTTATTATTATTATTTTATTTTATTTTACATTAAATTTATTGTTTATTAATCTATGTGGCAATAGTGTTGTGCCAAGTTAGCATTTCCGTTAGTCTAGTCAGTCTGTTAGATGACACCGTTAAAGTATTGGACGGAAGTGATTATAAGTGGTATTTCTCAAAAATTGGCTATTATTGTCACAAACGCGAAAGTTTTGGCTATACAAGTGTATTTTGCCTAGATTTATACCCATACTCCAAATCCCAGTTCCCAACTCTTTTCAAGTTTTTTTCAAGTTTGTAAACCCCAAGAATTTGAACCTTTCAAAACCATAGGTCCCACAAATTTTGCACCACCAAAATCTTTAAACAAACAAAATAATTGCCTGATCCTTGCTATCCAAATCATCACAATCCTAACTTCCTTTGATCGACCATCACTCTACCTAACTGATGACAATCCATTGATTCCAATCTCTAATATTTACCCACTCTCAAAGGCAGTGGCTAAAGGTAAAGTTAGAGTGGGAGGGCCACAGTTACAAACACAAACGCATAACTGCCTCTTGGATCACACTCACTCTAATGAATGGCATGGCGCTGTCCAAACAGAGTTCCCAGAACCGAAAAAGAGTGGAATCTAAATGGCTAAATTACACGTTTGGTCACTCAAATTATACAAATCTTTCACGTTTGCCACCCAAATCACTTTTTTTTCTTATTGACCACTAACTTTACGAATCATTTCACCGTTAGTCACCGGCCGTTACACTCTGTTAAATTTGTCCTACGTGGCAGTCAACTATAAAGTTTGACCGTTAACTAGATGACGTGGAAATTAAAAAAAATAAAAATAAAAATTATTTTTCCACCTCATCATTCCACTTATTTTATTTATATGACTTATAATATTAATTATTTAATAAAATTAATAATTTACAAAATTTTAATTATCCTCCCTCGTCTCGTTTCCAAGGTGGTCTCCTCCACCGGCGACCGCCCGACCCGACCATGCTCCACCTCCGTTGCTCGCCTACTCCTACAAGGCTACAACAAGTTCCTCCAGCTCACAACAGGTAAGACTGTCCTGCATCTCTGCCACCGCCGCCGACGAGGACAAGAACAAGACGACATCCACGCTATTCAAACCCGTCTTCCCGGCCGGCAAGCTTAACACCGCCGGGTTCTTGCACGTGCAGAACCAGCGCCACCTGCGGACTTCTTACAACAAGGATTACAACGACTCAATTAAATACGTTGCTTGTGTCTACACCAAAGGCGGTGATGGGTTCCACCGGTACGAATTCGAGGCCAATGAGTTAGTTATATATTGTGTCCTGGGGAATTGTACAGGGTATGGGTCCATTTTCAGAGTAATCACGCCGCCACCGCGGCCTCTAGAGCCAGGTATTAGATTATGACTTATTAGATTATGACTTATGAACAACGTAGAGATGGAAACTGTCAACCATGTAGAGTTTACCTTTAAAGTAAGCTTGCTCCCCATCGTTACTATGGTTGAAGGTGTCCGCCAACTTGCCCCATGGCGGCGGGATGGTGCAGCCCTGTCGCGAAGCGATGGCGGGGATTGTGGCGGTCGGTGGACGGCGGGACAAGACAACCACCACAATCTCGTAGCCATGGCGACCCTCGTCAATGTCAAGACGCTCATCAAGCTCTTCTTCATGGCCTTCCTCTTCTTCTTCCTCCTCCTCATCATCTCTGCCGTCGTCGCCCTCCCTCCCAGATCACCGCTGCCACGCCCGCAGCCGTCGCTCTGATTTCAACCCCCTCGCGATCAGATGGTCGTCTGCCGCCATACGACGACGTAGCGCAGCCGCAACATAGCTACCACTACCGCCGCAGCCGCCGTAAAGCGAGACCATCAGGCCCTTGATCCGCCGCAGTACCAGGTGGTCCACATCAAGAAGACAAGAACGAGACCAGGCCCATGCAAATTGCAAGTTATTAATTTTATTAAATAATTAACATTATAAATTATATAAATAAAGTAGGTGAAATTATGAGTGGAAAGATAAATTAAATTTTTTTTTTAATTTCCACGTCATCTAGTTAACGGTCAAATTTTATAGTTGACTGCCACGTAGGACATATTTAACGGAGTGTAACGGCCGGTGACTAACGGTGAAATGATTCGTAAAGTTAGTGGCCAATAAGAAAGAAAAGTGATTTGGGTGGCAAACGTGAAAGATTTGTATAATTTGAGTGACCAAACGTGTAATTTAGCCGAATCTAAATTATTTAGACGGACAAGACAACTTCCTTCCTACTACACTTTTTTACATGTAAAGGTTGTGCAAGAAACTCATCTGTACCAGTGGAACTTACAAAGCAAACAGATGGAATGTAAAAAGCAATTTCCACAACATAAGTACCACCAAAGAGAAAACCATTCCTTTCAGAGCTCAACTGCCATGGTTTTCAACATTTCATGTATGTTCAAACGAAATTCAGAATGGACCACCTAACTAACTACTGCCATATGCACTGCATATCAACATGCAATGGACAAGGTCATTCACTTCATCATCAACTACAACCGGGTAGACTAAGGAAATAAAATTAACTGCTTAAGCAGCAGGAAGAGTAGGAAGAGGGGTCGGCCAAAGTGGAAGAGACAATGTCAGCACGTTGGACCACATCAGACCCCTGCCCTCCTTGTTCTTGCCCAAATTCTCGGCTACCACTTTCAGTGTCCTGCCCCCAAAGTCACACTCCAGTAACGTCATTTCCACAGTCAAATAGGCTATCATGGGATCATATGGATGCATAGTCCGGAATTGAACAGCGTTCGGAAGAATCTTCATCGTGTTCTTGACCGAATTTGCACTGGAAGGCAACCAATCAAGGATATTGACATTATGCTTGAGATGCCATTCACCATCTGCCAGTGTGTATACTCTCAGTTCCGCACGCCAAGCTTGTCCTGCCCAAAATGAACCTTGACACTGGCTAAGCCCTTGAAAAGGCACCATAAGCGAAAGCACCAAAGGAATCATGCACAATACATCCGAAGGAGGAGTAATGTGGTGGAGTAAAAACTCATTCTTGTTGGGATCATAGATCAAAGTCTCACATCTTCCAAGCAGCCAATAGAGCCTTCCATCGTATGAAATCCCCGTTCCCGGGGCTGGTAGAGCCGTAGAGGTAACACCTTTCACACATCGGGCCCTAGATGTAGTCCAAAGTCCCACGTCAGATGAGAATACTTCCACATCCATCCCAAAGAGATCTTCTTCCTCATCCTCATCACTACTAGAGTAACGCCAACGTACAACCTTGAAACCAAATCCATCATTCAAAGTGATCAAGCTATCATCACCTTGCACGAGGTAGAATGGATCACAGATAAAACCAACATAAACATCAGGACTGTCCTTATGAGGAGATGGTGGAAGGGTAAGCCACTCCTTAGTGAGCGGGTTGCAAATGTAGTATGTGGCAGGCATGGTCTTATAAGGGGAGCACAAGAGCAAGCCATTGGAAGATCCCAAAACCACACGGTCTAAGGTACTACTGTAATAATCCTGGCCAGCAATGAACGGCAGCAAATTCAAAGATAAGTCAGAACCATTAACGATGCTGCAGGTGGGAGTTACCAGAAGCATTTCCCTGATGCTGCACTGTGCGTAAACCAGCTGATGATCCTCCGCACTGGAAGAGGCCTGCTCCGTAACCCTCTTGAGAATGAAGCGTCTTTTGAAATATGGATCATCCCGAATGGAAGAGAACCAGAACTTGCAAACAGACATACAGCGAAACACATCTTTCAAAGGAATGCGAACCAGAACTTCTACCAGTAAATGGTGTGACAGAACGTCATTGATACATAACGCTGACGATTCGAACCCAGCCATGGAAGCCTTCTCCCTGGAAATTCAAAACCAATCCCGATTCTACTTAGTATCATTGCGACCAAAGAAAACATACATTCACCAATACAGAGACAATCACCATGAAATTTGCTTACAACCACAGAAAAGAAAATCAAACGGCCCGGATAACTTAACGACGATCAAATCCAAGGTTCAGAGTTGGAATCAGAAAGATCAAATCCAACTCGCTTTGAACTTTTACTAAGGGTTTCATAGCCGAAAATAAAATAAAATTCGACTTCGGGACGCAGAGAAGAATAAAAGAAACAATCCTAAATTGCGGGCGTACCTGGATTGAATGAAACGTATAAGAAAGCTATGGGAAGGAGGCCACGATTTGGATTCTCGCGGCGGCGTTAGAGTTTTACCGCAGCGGAGGATGGCGGGGATTTCCCGGCCGTATATTGCTCCGACTTCTGACAACTCGCGGAACGCCTGCGCACGCAAAAGCTTATTAGCTTCGGGCTTGGGCCTCTCAAATGACAAATAACGTTAGTTATGGACTTATATATAGGAGTTAGGGTGAGTATTAAGGTTGTCATCCCGGGTTAGGGCGTTGGCTCCGATATGTTAGTGGGTTAAGGATTAATGGGAGGATCATTTTAGCCTGATTTAGCTCATTTTAACCTAGATATTATTAAATATATACCTATGTTGAAGTGATTTAATAATTTGATGACTAAATTATAATTTATTTACAAGTATCAATGTATCATTTTAGCATTAATCTATGATTATTATTTAAAAGAAAACCTACATCTGTCCATAAATGCATAAACCTTATCCTTTCTCCTCTCTTCTTCACCTATAAACACAGACAACCACACGATTACACAATTAAAATCCCTCATCTCCCATTCCCATAAACCCCAATTTTCTTCCGCCTTAGCCTGAACAATCTCGTCTTCTCTCGCAAACCTCGCTTTCCCACTCGCCCCATTCTTCCAAAACGCCAAACCTAGCTTTCCTACTTACCCCAATCTCCCCAAACTCCACCATAGCTTTAACTCCGGCCGGTCCTTAGCTGCATGGGCTCCCCGCCTCACTCACACTCCTCCGACGGTCACTGCTTACGGGAGTCCTCCTCCGTCGGATTCTTTGGCTCTCTCAAGCTTCGAATCTAGAATGATCTCCCCCCAACGATGATTCTAGAGGCGGTGGGTACTGGAAAGGGAATCAGAAGTTAAGGAAAGAAGAACGACGAGAATGATGGTCGAAGCAGCATGGGCGATTAGGAATTTTTTTGGTCTTCATCCTCCAAATCCGCACACGAGCAAGACCTTTGACTCAGTCACCTTGGCCAGCCGTCCAGGTCTGCCGGGTTTGACCGGGATCAGATAGGTTTGTCCAAGTCCTGGTGGAAGTTTGGCTGGATCACTAGCACCCATTTTCATGGACGGGTCAGGCCAATCTGGGTCGACCCCTAGTTGACAACCTTGGTGAGTAAATGTTCACAGGGTCGGATGCCCACCCATGTCGCTGAGCCAAGATCCATCGGTGGAGGAAGATTGGCGCTAGCATGTGAGGGAAGAGAACCAAGTCCATTGGCTGGCCCAAGCCCACCGCGGAAAAGTGGGGCCCGCCGGGCCCACAAATTCAAAAAACCACCAATTTTTTTATACCCAAATCCCTCCCCCTCTCTGTTCTTTCTCCGCCAGTTTCTTTTCTCTCCCTCCACCCCCCCCCCCAAAAAAAGTCGATCGTTTTCCCTCTCCCTTCCCTCTCCCGAAGAAAAAATTTCCTCACACCTTCCTATCCCGATAACAATGACGGTGACGGATGGTTTGACGACGATGAAGGGTTTGACAGTTGGTTTGACGGCGGTGTGACGGTCGTTTAAGAAAGAACAAGTTTGTCGACTGAGGTAGTCGTCTTCTCCTTCCTTTATTCATGGATACGAATGTTCGTTTGAGTAGATTCGAGTTAGGGTTGCATGGCTTCGACTGGATCTGGGTTTTTATTTTTCTTCATTTTTTTGGTTGAGTTTTATGGATTTGTTTTCCGGTTACATGGATTTGACTGGATCTGAGTTGCTTTCTTATGCTTCGTTTTTTTGGATGGGTTTTGTGGATTTGTTTTGTGTGCAGTCCGATATCAGTTGTAAATTTCCTGGATATTGTTTTGGTGAGTCTTGGATTCAAGTTTTTTGGGGCCTGGGTTTTTGTTGGGAATTTCTTAGTTGTGTATTAGTTCTTCGACCAGGATATCAGTTGTAATTGCTTGGATATTTGTTTGATGTATCTGAATATGACTACATTTATATTTGTTTTGGTGGGTAAGGATATCAGTTGTATGATTGACTGGATAATTGTTCGACGTATTTGGATTGAACTCGTGGATATTACTCTGAGCGTTCGAGATTTTGTTTCTTTGAAGTCCAAATATTAGTTACTAAGGTCAGGATATTTGTTTGTGCAGGGATTTTTCCAAATGTCAAGAACTAAAACAACCGTGAAGAGACAACGAACTAGAGAAAGACCTTTCAAGCCTTGTCGTGCTCAACCGCCACCGCCATAGGAAGACGAGGAAGAACAATATGAGGAAGAAGATGTTCAAGGAGGAGCTCAAGGAGGAGGCAAGTCATGGTACAGATTTCAGTGCCACACCATATCTATGCTAGATGTTATAAAATACTGGAAGGAAGAGCCAAGGTACTATGAAGCTTGCAAGAAAGAGCTCGAGAAGGTTGGATTTGGGGGCTATTGGAGCTTCGACTAGGCAATATTCCTAAGAAGTTGATGGATTCCTTGATGTCACACTATGACTTGCGCACCGATACATTCATTGGCGGTGAAGGGTAGAACAAGAAGGCGCTTACCATCGAAGATGAGGATGTTGCTCGTGTATACGGCCTTCCTATTGGTGGTGCTAAGATTCATGTCGTGAAGTCTAACGACAAGATAGTCGAGATGTTCAAGGAGGATGTCAACATGGAGCGCAAGCGTTGTTGAAATGTCGAAGTTGTAGACCATAAAGAGGCGGCCTGTGGTGGTCCAGCTGATGAAGAGAAAAGGAGACCACTAGTTGCAGTCGCGGTGAAGCAATTCTTGTTGCTGGCCATTGGTTCGATGCTCGTTCCAATGATATCACGACTTTGTAAGTTTGACTATGCACAGTACCTGATTGGAAGGATGGAGAACATTGCAAATTTCGATTGGAGTGTTCTTGTTGCCCGTGAGCTCAAGGTGGAGTTGGCTTCAGCTAAGAGAAAAGAACCAGCAGCTAGGCGGACGGAAAGACAATGCAATGGGTGCTTGGGGATATCCACTTCTTGATGGTAACTTCTCCTTTTACATTATTGATATTGTTCATTTCGTCCCTTGATATTAGTTAGCATCATAGGGATAATAATTAGCATGCTAGGATATTAGTTCTTTTCATACCTGATATCAGTTTAGAATCATGTGATATTAATAACCATGTCTGAGATAGTAATTAGCATGCATGGGATAGTAGTTCTTTCAATTATAGATATCAGTTTGTTCCATACGTGATATTAGTTAGAATTCTTCGGATAGTAATTAGCATGTATAGGATAGTTGTTATTTTCATTTTGGATATCATTTTAGATGCATGTGATATTAATAACCATTCCTATGATAGTAGTTCTTTCAACTATGGATATCAATTTGTTTCATGCGTTATATTAATAACCATGCCTAGGATAACAATTTGTTTCATTCGTTTTTTTTTAGATCCATTTGCTAGACTTCCTTCGGGTTAGGGATGACAAAAATATCCGTAACCATGGATATCCATCCGAATCCAACCTAATCGGGTAGGGTAAAACCCAAACCTGAAGGACTTTTACTAGGTATGTGTAAAACCCGAACCCCGAAAAGTGTGGGTAATGGGTGGGCATGGTTTTCACACTATCCAACACGAACCCGCCCGATTATACAAATAAATATGTATTTTGACTAGAAATTATCATTATTTTTCTCTAACATATTTTATATTTAGCATATAAGTATAATATTTTCATGAAATTGTGTTGTTTTAATTAATTTCTTCATTCTAGTGAATTATTGTCGTAATTTTCCTCTTATGTAATATGAGAATATGTGTGAATGTTAAGATATTGGTTGGAGTTATAAAGATAAATTATTACCCATGGATAACCGTGGATATCCGAAACCTGAATGGGTATAGGCATGGTTTTGATTTTCTACCCGTTTCTTATGTGGGTATGGGTATGGGTAAAACCCGAATTACAATCGGTAGGATAACGGATATGCACTATCGCCCCCAACCCATTGCCATCGCTACTTCAGGTGAGAGGATTCGCCACAAACACCATCCCGAGCTGTAACTATTGGTTCGATCCAAGGGTGGAAAAGATGTGCTTGAATATCCCCAGGGATGACAGATATAATTTGGGTCCCATGTTGCTATCAAGGGAAGAAGTCAGATCCCGCTTCCGTCATGGGCGTGTCAGGAGGGAGTGAGGATCAGGAACAAGCAGCTCAGCACCTCCTACAGCTAATCCGCAGTACTACACAAATGATTGGTGGGAGGAAACTGACTTGAAAACCCTTCAGACCAACTAGGTATGTAGATGTTCTCTTTGCAACTGAAAATCGTGGGTTAGTAGACATGCGTGCATGTAGTGAACTAATTTTTTTTTTACAATATGTGTAGCTTAAGGCACTACACTCCTTGACTGAAAAAGTGATGGATAAGTGGGATTCAAGGTGGGAGAGTGTCTGAAAGATTGCCATTAAGCGCCAGCAAGACAAAAATTGAACGTAGAAATTTTCTTCTGTTTAAGTGGTTGTAATGTTTCTTGTTAGGATGTTATAATTACCATGTTGGAATGGCTTTGAAAACTACTTGTATCGAACAAAAGTTTGTTTACTGTGGATTTCTTTTCCAACTCGACTTTCTGTGTGGTGAGCTTGAATGGAACATGGGCAGATTGGTGGACTTGGTTTTCGTCTTTGTTAGCAGTGACCAAAGCAAGGATGGAAAAGGAGGGAGATGGTAAATGTCATGGAGGAGGAGGAGGAGGAGGAGGAGGAAAGTAATCAATGTAATGTGAGAGGCAAGAACATGTTCTGCCGCGTGTATTCCCAGAAAATATGTGAGAAGACAGTGTTTCCAGTTGTTTAGGAGATGATGGAGACAGTTGTTGTGTTGACTTCTCTCGAGGAGATGGATACTGTTGTTGATCCAGTTAAGGAGATGGTGGAGCCAGTCGTTGCATCGACTGTTGATGACGTGTTGGAGCTAGTCGATGAGTTGACTATTAATGAAGTGGTGGAGTCGAACAATTGTTGAGCCGATGGTCATACATTATGCTGACCCGGCTATGACATTTGAGGATGTTTTGTAGATAGCAATCCAGGCCACTGCGACTACTCAGAAGAGTATCACGACATCTCCAACTACGATAATTTTGATTATGGTGGATTTAAGTTATTGGTGTGTAATAGTTGGTTCCATATATTATATAAAGTGCTTGAAAATAACAATCATGAGATACCATCTGGATAACTATGGATATTGAAATGAAAGCTCTCTATAATAGTTCCTTTACTGTTAGATACTGATATGAGTTGTCCATATAATATTTCTTTTATGAGTAGATACTTCTCTGGGCTGTCTGGATAATATTTCCTTCATGAGTAGATACTATGTTGTGCTGATGGTCATACATTATGCTAACCCGGATACAACCTTTAAAGATGTTTAATGTTTTGAAGATAACTATCTAAGCCACTGCTGCTCAGGAGAGTATCGTGACATCTCCGACTACGGTGGTCGCTCCCACTACTGATGTTATGACACAGGGAGATGCAGGACCATCTGAGGAGAAGTTTATAGCAGTAGCTTGCAAGAGGATGGAGGAGAGTGACGATGACATTATAACGCAATATCATGAGAGGACTGAGGAGGAGGCAGAGAAGTTGTACTCCATTACACCTTCGGCCTGGATAGGAACCCTAAACACTAAAGAGTTCTAGAAGTAAAAAAAGCACTCATTCGTCAATTTAGTGTATAATTTGCCGAATTCTGTGTCGACGATACGACTCGTCACGTGGTTGAGTTCATCTTTAGTTCCACTAATGAAAACGAGTAAGTTGTCACTTTATATTATGGTGTGGCCAATTTCAATCTATCCATCACACATTACTAACCCAGTTTTCATTTGGGTTTTATAGTAGCAACTTTGTCATTGACTCTCCAAACTGTAAGCTTGCCCGTTTCCACTTCCTTACATTGAAGCGCGCCACTTGGATGCATAGTCAGATAGTAGAAGCATACGGGCAATACCTAAACGACAAAGAAGTACAATAGGGGGTGGCGAAGAGAATTATCTTCTTATGGAGTTTTGTTGTAAGTGTGCTCTTCACTACTTAGATCCTATTTATATTGAAAATGTCTAATTTGATATTGATGTCCCTTCTACATAGCAACATGTCGTGGATAATGCTATCAAAAATAACCCGTGGATAAGTGAAGACTCGGTGTGATAATTACTTTGGCCAAAAGGAATCCACTGCTGAAACGTGCCAACTTGAAAACATGAGATTATGTAAATGACTGTCGGGATACTTGTCTGCAATGTTTGGATTTACTCTGGTTTTCCTTGATATTAGTTTGGGTATTTAGGATTTTAGTCTGGGTTGTTACGATATTAGTCAACGAATAACTGACTGTGCTTTGTGTTTCGGATCTTCTTTTCCATTTATCTTAATTATCACTATCGAGTGTACGTTGTTGACATGAAGACTATGAAGACTTTCCTCCTCGATAGCATAAAATCCAATGCCAGAGCGGCTAAGGTGCATCATGCACCACTTGGGAGAATGATTTTTAGTATGGGGCAGCATTACTCGCAAACCAGGGGGTTGATTGTGCATTGAATGTGTGGCAATTAAATGTTGCTGATGTTCCTTAGCAGGTTGGAAACAATGATTGTGGAGTATTTGCATGCTTTTACATGGAGCAATGGGTAGGTCACCTTCCAGTGGAATATAAAGCAAGTTGGCACATTGCGGCCAACCTCCTTTTCTAGCACTATAACCGCAGCAAACAGGAAATAATTGAATGTGCAAATTATTGGAATGCGCAGAAGGAGAAGGAAAAAGAAGAGAAGTTGATATTTAGATTTGTGTAGTGTGATATTGGTCTATAAAACTGCACATAGGGTTGGAGAATATTTTGGAGAATGATGTTGGTTTGTATCATGATGGATAATATTTTGCCTAAGGATGGATATAATGATCAACTTAAGTTATTATGCAAAACTATATCCTAACAACCCAGACAAATATTTGTCATAATGCAAAACAATATCCTAACAGCAAACACGAATCCATTGCCACACACCTGCAAACTAATATCCACAAAACACAGACAAATATTCGTAATGCCTAAGTTAATATCTAGATGGTTTAATAAAGACAGATACTGATTTTCTTAAGGATGGAAACTGATTTCAATAACACTGAATAGTAGATAAAGATGGATAACACTTTAATTCATAAATAGAAACAACTCAACACAATACAAACTAAAGACATGATGTGCTAGTTCATTTCTTCACAGTCTCCTCGTTATTATCTTTATCATCCGGATCTGTAAAACTGGGAAACATTGCTTTGTCCAGTTCCATGTAAAACCCACACTTCTTATCATTGGCGTACTCGTACATTGGACATCCTAAATACCTGCTCGGTGGGTTGACTCCATCAACAGCAAGTCGTCTACTGGCTCTCCAACCATGGTAACAGACCACAACACCATCATATTCAAACTCATCCACCATCACCCGGCCCGCAGGTTTAGTAGTCTCTCCAGACATGGACTTTGCTTTGGAAGAGAAGAAGAAACTGAGGAAATGAGATGTTGTCTAAGTATGAGAAGTTGTCTTAAATAGACAAAGGGTCCTATGGAAGTATTTACAAAAGTGTCCTTTGAGAATAGAAATAAAAAGGCTGACATGAGAAAAGTAACAAAAAAATTTCACATGAGAATAGTGAAAGAATGAACCATTGGTACTCTTGTATGGAAGGAATCACAAGGGAATAGTTAACAAAAGATCATATACACGATTCATAAAAAAAGATAATATTCTTATATCCACTAGTTAAAAAGATAATATCCATTGCAGATAAAACAATATCAAAATATTATGAACTAATATAATTTCAAGCCAAAACTAATATCAGCTCATACCACAACAAATACCGACACCAACCAATTTAATATTCGACCACATAAACCTTATCCCTGAACCCTAAACCCTGAACCCTGAGATCTAAACACTAAAATCCAAACCCTAAACCCTCAATCGTAAACCCTAAACCTAATTTTGTGATACTTGAAACCATACTTGACGAAAGTGATGGTAGATGCTTAAATAAACAAAGAATCACATGTGAATAGTTACCAAAATATAATATCTACTAGTATAAATATAATATCCACTACACACATAACAATATCCATACCGCCCAGACTAATATCATTTCATGAAAACACAAATATCATTACCGCCCAGATTAATATCCAACTAAATAAACTAATATCATACATAAACTAATATCCGTCTATCACTGAACAATATCCATTACAGGTGGAATAATATCCTACCTATTACAAAAAACATATCCTGCCATCACATGTCCCACTACAAGAAAACAGGGGTTTTGTGTGGGTTTTCTTGTGTCGGTTCACTGAACCGACACAAAATATGAATTTTGTGTCGGAAATTTGTGTACTGAACCGACACAAAATATGAATTTTGTGTCGGAAATTTGTGTCCCTTACTGAACCGACATATTATTCTCTTGGTGTAGTGTCGGTTTTGATTTGTCTCGGTTTGAACCGACTTCATGCCCAATTTAACTAATTTTAAATAAAACAATTGGTTTTTTCATTGGTTTTTTTGTTTTGATCATATTTGTTTTATTGACTGAGAAGTGAGAAACCCCAAACTAAAACTTCCCGCCTCCCCCAAAACTTCCCCGCCGAAACCCATTTCTCCAATCAAACCTTCCCTCTCCAAAGTTCCCCCAAAAATTCGAACATCCTCTAGCTGACGAAGAGCTAGTCATAGTGGGCGAATTCCATAGCTGGTCAGAGCGTGCGATTATGGTGGATTAGGGTTTGGCAGCCAGCGGTGGTTGGAGGACTCGCTTAGAAAGCAAGTACAGGTAATTTCCATGAATCTTAAGAATTTAATTAGGGTTTTGGATTATGTGGTTGGCTCTGGATGATGGGAACAACAGTTCGGCTTAGGGATTAGCTTTGGTTTATCTTCCTCTGCTACTTGTGTTCTTATGCAAGTCATTTCTTTACTCCTCTATTATTCAACTCGGGTGTTGTTATCTACAGAGCTGGAATTTTGTATTCTTGTTTGTGCGAGTTTGTTTGGGGTCTGGCGTATTTTGGCGGTTGTTGTTTGGGGTTCGTTTCAATGTTGATGATTCCATCGCTTTAGCTCATTTGTGTATGTATGTAGATTGATTAACCATGTTCCTGTTAGATATAGTCTGCTGGTAGATAAACTAGTATACTGCCAAGATTTCCACCTTTTGTTTAATATATTGTTCTTACTATGTCAACCAGCCTAGATATATTTAAATCATCTTATACCCAAAGCAATTGTACTGCATAAGTTGAGTTTTGTCGTAGTTGTAGTTTAGTGCAGTGGGTATTTGCGTTTAGGTTTGTTTTGGCTGCTGTAAATGGTTCATGATGTTTGTAATCTTTGGTTCAAGGTTGTTGGTGTCTTACTACTACTAGTAATCGGTATCAGTAATAGCTAGCTAGGTATCCATATTGAGCATGTCATTGCTTGCTGTTTGGAGGCCTTTGACCAACCATACAATAAGTTTGATGGCTGCTGCTAGCTTAGTAGGTGCATATTTATAATTGATCATCATATCTTAATTCGTCTCTTTGTCTAAAGAAGAGATGTTGCATCCCCATAAGTAGTTAGCTAATTTGCTACATGTTTGTTAAGCTTCAAAACATCAATATAGTTTATTCTTTGGTAGTCATTCCTGTTGAAGCATTCTACTGGTGCATCTGTTTCTCTTTTCTTTTTTATTTGTACTCTATTTTCCATTTTCTAATTAATGAATCAATTTCACCCTTAAAAAACGAAAGAAATGAAAATGAGAAGTTGTTGTCAATGGTGTGTTAAGAGCAGCTGCTAGCTTACTTGGACAAGATGGCTCTCTCTCCTCTCCTCTCTCTTTGGTTGGATGAATAATTAGAACAGTTGGTCATTACCGTCAGTAAAAGAAAAATGTTGGATTACAAACAAAAGCATAATTTTAAACACAGAAGGAAATGGATAAGAGTTTTGTCATGGGCTTGATTATATATTTGTTTTCATGTACAGTATATGTCACGGAAAGTAGCAGACCACTTGAAAGTTAAAGTCGGATCTTGGGTTGAAGAAACAACGACATCTATTAAGGTAAAGTACCCTCTGCTGACTTTCATGTTCTTTTCTTATAAGCCTTTTTCTCATCTGGTTTAATGATTCTCTAGGAAGTTCACTCCCCATTACTTAAATCGTCAAACCCTACCTGCTATATACATAAAAATTTCTCAAATACCCACTTTATATATATATATATATATATATATATATATGGTATTCTGATTCTCATGATGGACTAACACTCTATTAGGGGTTACAAATGGATAAGTCATGGATTTCTATGCCTCGTAATACACCAGAATATATGTCTGGCTTAGAGAAATTTTTGGATTTTGCTTTTGCACACAACCTTGGAGTAGAGGTCATACTATGTCCTTGCCCCAAGTGTAGCTTCAAGAAATGGCTAAAAAGGAACGAGGTATATGATCACTTGATACGAAAGCCCTTTCCATTGGGTTACAAGTTTTGGTTTCGACATGGAGAATCTCTCGAAGAGACCTCTGTTGGCACAACTGTTGAAGGAGAACCAGAACCACCCACAGTTGAAGAATCTCTACATAGCCCAACGAATGCAATGCATGATTTGATAAATGATGCATTCAGAATTTTCGGAGAACATGCTCAGAATGAGGGTACTGATGTAGGAGATCCCATGGTCGAAGATCAAACAACAATACATTCTGTCCATCAAGGTCCACATGTGGGCCCTGGTGACTTTCTCCAGCTGCAAAAGGATGAAGAAGAAGCTTTATATGAAGGGTGCACTAAGTTCTCCAAATTGTCCTTCTTGCTCAGACTATACCACATCAAGTATATGCATAAAATTAGTGACAAAGCTATGTCAAAGATTATTGAGTTGCTGCATGAGGCCTTCGACTTTGCGAAAATTCCAGCAACAGGGTATGCTGCAAAAAAAGTAATGAAAGGTCTAGGACTTACTTATACCAAGATTGATGCTTGCCCTAATGATTGTATGCTATATTGGGGGGATGATGCTGACAAAAAAAGGTGCAAAGTATGTAACATGTCGAGGTACAAACCGACAAAAGAAGGTGGTGATGTGTCTACTAGTCGCAAGAAGAAACAACCAGCCAAAATTTTCCGGTATTTTCCACTAATACCTAGACTACAAAGGATGTTTTTGTCTTCTAAAACTGCCGAAGACATGACTTGGCATTCAAAGGGGAAAACTAATGATGGGATAGCTAGACATCCAAGGGATGCTGAAGCATGGAAGGATTTTGATTCAAAATATCCAGATTTTGGATCTGACCCACGAAATGTTCGATTTGCTCTTGCTAGTGATGGATTTAATCCATTTGGGTCGATGAGCAGCAACTATAGCATTTGGCCAATAATTCTTATCACATACAATACCCCCCCCCCCCCCCCCATGGTTGGGCATGAAGCAAACGAGTTTCATTTTATCAAGCATCATTCCGGGAAAGAAGATGGTGGGGAATGATATAGATATCTATTTGCAGCCACTGATACTTGAGCTGCAGCAATTGTGGGAGGGTGTGGAGACATATGATGCCTTTAAAAAGGAAATTTTCATGATGAGAGCAGCCCTTACATGGACAATTAGTGATTTTCCTGGTCTAGGAACATTATCGGGATGGAATACATATACGGGTTTGGCATGCCCTTCATGTAATTTTGACTCCATTCCTTTGCGCCTTCAGCATAGTAATAAATGGTGTTTTATGGGCAGCCGGCGATTTTTACCACAAGGCCACCGCTTTCGACTTCAAAAGCTCCGATTTAATGGAAAAGTTGAGAATAGAGATCCACCAAATCTTTTATCTGGCTCTGAGATTCTCAAACAAGTTGAACATGTTAATGTTACCTTTGGAAAAAAGAAAGGGAGGGTAAGCGGTGGGAAGAGGAGTCGTCGAAGTAGTAATGATGATGTTGGTGGAGCACAACAATGGAGGAAGAAGAGCATATTTTTCCAACTTCCGTATTGGGAGCATAACTTGTTACGTCATAATCTCGATGTTATGCACATTGAGAAAAACGTGTGCGACAATATCCTTTATACATTGCTTAATGACAAGGATAAAAGCAAAGATCATCTGAATGCTAGAAAAGATTTGGTTGATCTGCACATGAGGAAAGAATTGTGGCCACGAGAAGATGGGAAAACTTGTCCAGCAGCATTGTTTACTATGGAAAAGGTAGAGATTGATATCATGCTTCGAACCTTGAAGTCTATTAGTGTCCCAGATGGGTACTCCAGCAATATATCAAGATGCGTTGACTTGACCCAACGCAAGATATTCGGTTTGAAAAGCCATGATTCACATGTTCTCTTACATGAATTTCTGCCTTTAGCAATTAGGAATGTATTACCGATTGAGGTGGCTTCAGTTTTGGTTGAATTTTCCTCTTGTTTCAAGCAACTATGTTCCAAGGTGGTGAACATGGCTGAATTGGAATCTCTACAACAACGAATTGTTTTGGCTTTATGCCACTTGGAGATGCTTTTCCCACCCTCTTTTTTTACTGTTATGATCCATCTTGTTGTCCATTTGGTGGAAGAAGTCAGACTTGGAGGACCTGTTCATTACCGTTGGATGTACCCCATAGAGAGGTTCTTAGGTAAGTTGAAGTCCTTTGTTGGTAATAGAGCACAACCTGAAGGATCAATAGCTGAAAGCTGGAGATTAGAAGAAATGCTCACATTTACTTCTTTGTATTTGGATGGTGACATTGAGACAAGGTTTAATCGAGAGGGGCGTGTGAATGATCAAGTGGGAACTTCAAATTCTGTTTCTCCCATCTTTCCTCATCTAGGACAATCTGTAGGAGAAGGAGAATTCTTTAAGTTATCCAAGGTTGAGAAGTTGCAAGCTCATCGTCATGTACTCATGAATTGCCAACAAGCTGAGCCTTATCTTGAGTAAGCAGCATCACAAACTGATTACAATAATTTTCTTATTGGTATTTGTGTGGCCTAATCCTCAAAGTAATGCATATAGGGAATTCCGCCTTCATACAAAGCGTCGGTTAAGAGATCGTACAAGATCAGAAACTGAGATACAAAAGGCAGTCCATCGAGGATTTGTTGATTGGTTTAGGGATCGTGTAAGCACATTCTGTCCCTTTCTATCATTAATTTATTTTTACATATACATATAATACTAATTTCATATACATTAAATTTATATAGATATTAAATGATGGAGTTCAATCTCACTCGGCTGATCTCATCGCACTTGCAAGAGGACCTCTCGACTATGCAAGGCGGTTTACTGCTCATGACATAAATGGTTATAGGTTCCGCACTTCGCGACGAGAGAATTCATTGAAAACCCAAAATAATGGCGTGTTTTGTGGCTTAGGAACTAGAAGCTTTGCTAGTTCAGCCGACAATCACCCATCAGAGGGCATAGTGCCATATTATGGAAAACTAGTTGGCATTGTTGAGCTGAATTATTATGGAGCTTACTTTGTTACCTTATTCAAATGTGAATGGGCTAATACTACCAACCCTAGGTTTGTGAAGAAAGATGCATTAGGGTTTACATTAGTAAACTTTGCTCATTTGATTCACACGGGTGAAAAAGATGATGATGAACCATATGTTGAAGCGACTGAAGCGCGGATGGTTTATTATGTGGATGATGAAGTGGATAAAGGATGGAGCATTCCAGTTCACCTTAAACCAAGGGATTTGTTTGACATGGGTGAAGATGGAGCAGAAATATATGAATGTGAGACTTTTCAGAATCAAGACTTGCCTACTGTCGGCGAGAATTCAAATGCAGCTGTGTCAAGACCTGGTTTAGTTGTACAGTTTGACTAATATTAAGTGTTGTGGTCTGTATAAAGCTTGTTGAACTTGCAGAATGATGTGATTTTAAGTATTGTTGTTTGTATTAGCTTATTTAATGTGTAGAATGATGTACTGTTAATTGTCAAGATTTGTATTTCTTATAACATTTGCATAATGATGGTTATTGTAATTTGCAGAAGTACATCAGCTTACATGATAACCCTATGTTTCAGTTTGACCTCTATACAAGGTTTCAAGAATGGTGAATTCTGCAGAAGGATCCGAGACAAAGGAGAGTCGACAATACTGGACAGTTGAGGTTATAGGTAAAAAGCTCATTACATTGCTTTGTATCAGTTAGTCATTTCCATTACTATTTAGTATTTAGTATTTAGTAAAGATCAACTGGTGGGTTTATCTTTTGGGGACTACTTGTGAGTTGGAGAATTTGGTTTCACTGTTGTTGTTGGATTTTCTTTATTTCCCTTTAGCTTCTTGTTGTTTTTGTGTTCTGGTTTGTGGGAACATCAGGGTTGCTTTATTGCCCTTTTGCTTTATTGCTGCAGCTTGTTTGTTGTTTCCATTTAACATCTGTTACTTTTTTTTAATTTTTGTCAGATTCGTCGGGCATTAGGAGCACAAAAAATTTAACATCACATCAAGCATGGGTACTGGAAAATTTGAAGATTGTTGTGCAATTTCATAGAAACCAACCCAAGGGAGAAGTTTCAGGCTTACTTTCCCGGATCTTGGGGAACCTAGCTAAGGATTGCAGTCTCTTCCCCATCGGTTTTGATAACTGGCACCTGGTTCCGCAAAGTTTCAAAGATCGTGTATGGAATGATGTCATTAAGGTACCTCTATGCAATTCTGCTTACTGTGATGAAATTGTAGGTTGATATCTTTATGTTGTGGGTTGTTTTATTTTTTCCAGATTTTTCCTTTCATGTATTTTTTAGAATTTAAGTTTTGGGTTGCTGTCTCTTTATGTTTGTAGCCGAAACTATGGATTGAAGCCGGGCAAATGGACATAGCATACCACTACATTCTTCAGGATTTGGGTAATAAATGGAGGAACAATAGGATTCGGCTTTGGAATGTGGGGTTTAAGGTGGAGAAAAGCAGAGAAGAGAACATTACAAATCATCCTCCACACATTCCTCCTGAGCAGTGGGCTATGTTCATTGATTACCGTCTACGACCTGATACTCAGGTATGAAAAATAGTTCAGTGTTTTAACCATTATAGAAAATATGCTAACCAAATTGTCTATATTGTAGAAAATATGCAAGATTAACACAATCAACAAGCGGAAACATGAGACTCCTCACACTGGTGGCTCAAAGAAGAATAGCATAAGGAAAGAGGAAATGGTATTAATATTCATTTTCATTGGAAATATGTGACAACATTGCATAAGATTCATTAGTCCTCCTTAATTCACTCTTTCCTCATTGTTTAGGAAGAAAAATTGGGAAGAGAAGTTTCTAGAGGGGAAATGTACATGATCACCCATGTGAAGCCAAATGGATCATACAGTAGTACTAAGGCAGCAGAGATATGTGTAAGAAACTTGTTTATGTTTAGGTTATGGTTGTTGGGGCATTTTGGTGGAATTTATCAATGGTTTTGATTTGTGTGGTTTTATGTGCCGCTATATAGGAGAAAATAAAAGCAATCGAAGCTACTGGGACTGTACCTGCTAAAGCTAGTCGTACCGATTCTCTTAGTCAGGTGCTCGGTCCTGAACATCCGGGCCGTACTCGAACCATGGGAGCCGGAGTTGCTCCTACACAGGTAATTGTGTTGTTGCTGACATTTTTTCATTTATGTACTTATTGAATGATTTTAACATATTTATTCTCTATGTTTGGTAGGTCTTTGGTTCCTCTTCGTGTCATGGAAATCATTCATCTTCTAGTAGCACAAGCTCTCTTTCTCCAGAGGAAGTGCTTCAGCAAGTGCAAACTCAGCTACGGGAAGAGAGGGCACACAGAATGAATGTAGAAGCTGTACTTGCTCATGTTCTGTCCCAGACGGGAATCATTCTACCCCCGGAGCTTGCGTTGTCAAATCAAGTAAGTCATAAATTATTGAAGTGCACTGAATGCATATGCTAGAATAGCTTAGTCCAAAAATATAGTGTAGATGGATGCATGTTTTGGTGTCTTGTAGAAAACAGAAACAAATCTGTCTTTTGGTGTGCAGTAGCTAATTAAATGTATGTAGGTTTCATGTGATATTTATCCAATTTGGTTTCCCATAAAGCTGCTGGCTGGTGACATTAATGGGATTTGATATTGTAATTCTTATAGTCTGGTGTGTATTTTTGATCATTATCTATGATGTGTTTCAGCCTCTATACAAAAACCAAGCTTCTTCGCATTCCTCTACTCATAATGACAGCTAGGTAGTAGTTCGGGATTTGAAGTTCAAGGGATGAAGATATTTTGCAGCCACTTCACTTGCCGACTGTCGATGTTAATGCAAGTAATTTGTAGGAACCATGAATGGATAGTACTTTGGCGAGTATGTTTTGTGGCAACTTATGTAATGGGTTTTGTATCCCAAACAATAGATCTTCAACTCTAGCTTTATGATGAATCCCGAAACATGTAATCTAGAAGTACAGAATGATGTGCTTGTGATGAATGCATCTACTCAATTTCAGAACATGTGTTTTTATATGGATTTCTTATGCAGAGTGATACATTAGAGGTGCCAAAATAAGAGCATCCATTTTGTGTCGGTTGTATCCATTTTTGTGTCGGTTCAAAACCGACACAGAATTGTTGCTTGTGGTGGTACAGACCAACTTTGGTGTCGGGCAAAAGCGACACAAACTAGAGTCGGTTTTATTAAGTCGGTCAACCGACACTAAAAAACCATAATGAACAAAATTTGTTTTCGTTTGTTAAAAGATATTAGTGTCGGTTGAACCGACACAAAAATCAATTTATTGTCGGTTGCTCCAGCGGTTAATGTAAACCGACGCTAAATAGATTGGTGTCGGATAACTTGGTGTCGGTTTAGTGAACCAACACAAATGCTATTAGAGTCGGTTAAAACCGACACTAAATAGGAAAAATAACCCACACAAAACCTCTGTTTTCTTGTAGTGTCCATATCATATCACAACAGACCATTCTCGAACCACCCTAAATTTCTATTCATAACCATTTCTGCAAAATCATTATCATCTTAGAAATCACTAATATGGTTATCTGGTTGAGTATCGTTGTCCATGGCATCATCTTCGACTGATTTCATTCTAGACATGTTTCTTTCGACGACATTCTTTTTCATTCATAGACTGATAACTTTCCTTTCCTTAGCTTCTTGGATTACTCTTCTCCTTTAAAATCAGCCCACTTATCGGTAAAGACCGTCCTACAATGTTAGAGAATTTAGTATTGCATTCAATGATATTAAACTTTAACAATGTACAAATGATATTAGTGAATATACTTACTGTCCTCACTATTTATAGTCTTCGACAATGTCTTGTTTGCCTCATTTCACACTTTCTTAAGTGCTCCCATCCACTTGTTGTAGTCTTTCTCATCGGCCATCGGCTGGTTTGTTGTTAGATGATTCAACATTGCAGTGATTTCTCGGTACCGCATTGTTATGTCTTTTCCCGCATCATTCTCAGTGGCGGCAGCTGAAGGACCAACTGAACAATCCACACCAACAACCTCTTTCTTTCTCGCCTCCAACGTCCATCGCTTGAGTATGTAATACTCTAGAATACTTCTCATACTAGCATTCCCAAAATCTCCAAGTAGCCGCATCACCTTAATCATGTGGCGGCCTACCACTCCGAAAATTTTGAACATCTTGCATTCGCATACTAGCTTACTTTTAGAAATATCGACGAGAAAGACACACTCATCACTACGCTCACCGTCCTCCATCTTATACGTGAGATAGCCAATCATGCCATCTTCCCTAGTATGTGAGGGCGTCTCCATTTGATAAGATTTAGTTTCCAAATACTACTCATGTATCTGGTTGAATATGTTAGGAGCAATGCAGTTAAAAGCGCAATTTTAACTAGAAGCGGAGAAAGGGTAAAATCATAAAGCGTAGAATCAAAGTATAAAAGCGTAAGTTTTTTAAGCATACTGTAAATAGCTAAAAATGTGTTAAGTACGACATATACTATGTAAAATATGAGTGCACATATTTAGATAAGTTAATAAATACCTGCAATTCATGTCTAAAGTAGAGCAACTCATAACATCTTAACAATAAGTTTATAAACATAGATCTTAAGAATATCAGCCACATCCCCCTCTATGCTAATGAATTTGGGAAGAGCCAAACTAGTGAATTAGATTACTCTATTAAAACTAAGAATGCACCCAAGTTTATTCTCAAATGCAACAGATTGTTGGTGATTACCTTTAAAATATACTTTTTATAATTAATTTCATGAATAGAATACCCATTTAGTGAATTAGAAGCGTAAAAGCGTAAAGCGTTTTGGTGAACTAAAAGCGTAAGCTTTTAAGCTTTAAAGCGCAATTTAGTATGGTTTTACACTAAAGATTTTGTATGGAAACAAAAGCTCTTTGGTGACCTAAAAGCGTAAAACCGTAAGCTTTTAAGTTTTAAAGCACGATTTTAACTGCATAGGTTAGGAGTAAAGATCTTTGTCGCATGTTGGAGGATCGAGCTATGCTCCAGCATTATATGGGGAACTGAATGTTTCCCATTGTAGTCTGACTCAGTCTCTTTGCGTCTTTTTTTAGCCAACAAACTACAATTAGGAAGAAAGACAAAAGAGTTCAGTGCCTAGACTAATACCACTCAAATCAGTACGAATATCCGACCAACATAAAGTAATATTTCACCATTGCATAAGAATATCCACATGAAACATAACAATATCCAAACCTATCAAACTAATATCAAACAAGGGCAAAGTAATATTCTGCTTACGTACCTACTTAAGTGAATGAAATACAAGTCAAAATCATGTCTCTGTTTCAAAGAAAGTCGAACTTGTGCATTGCATGACTCGCTTGATTGCGTAGTCAACATCTCGGCATGTGAATTGATCTCTCAACCATAAGGAACACCATCGATGACGAAATTTCTTCAAATATTCCAACCATGGGTGCCCGTCCGCAATGTCGCTATTAGGGGAACATTCAGCAACCATGACGCCCCATGTCATGTCAAACTCTACCTCACTGTCGACGTCGTAGAAAATAAAAGAAAGATGATTTTGGAACTTCTTCCAAAAAGCCTTTTCCTTACGAAGATGCTTCTTGGCATTCTCGAGGATGTGCAATGTATAGAGGGCATGAAATAAAGTAGGTCACTCCTTTCTAAGGGCAACTGCCATGGCGGCGTCCTGATCGGTATAGATGGTGACTGAGAGCTTCTTCTTCATGCACCGACTAAATGCAACAAACAACCATTCAAAAGGAGTAGTCTTGTCATACAACAAACAAGCACCAAACACACAAGTTTGACTGTGGTGATTGAAACCTACAAACATCCCTGCACAAGACAACCATTAATGACAATGCATAACTGAGTGAGTGTCCAAAAAAATCAAGGCAATTAGGTGATTCACGTACCTAGTGGAAGAAATTATTTATTGATGCAAAAGGTTGTATCAAAGGAGACCGAGTCTCCAAAAAGTGCATAATCTTCACCCATCCAACTGTCCGCCAAAAAATATTAGCAACTTTCTCATCGCAATCTTCATGTACAACATAAAAGAAGTAGGGATGCTTGTCATTTTGGTCCTCAAAGTAGTCAAGCAATTAAGTGTATTCTCCACGAGCCATTTTCTTTTTCCTTTTACTATTCAAGTGGTTCTTCTGATCATATTTGATAAAAGTCAGATTTTGATACCCACTGGTACACTCATTCAGTAGTTGATGCGATGCGCTAAGACTCATCCCGGCAGCGCGATTAGCTTCAGCCATCTTTCTCTGAGCATCAATCATGCACTTGTTGGACTTGATTAGGTGTGTATGCTCGGTGGAGTGCAAATCATGATTGTGGGCTCCCACAAATTCATACACGACAAATCCGTCTCTAGTATCATCACATCGAAAACGAACACGAGTGCTACATCCAACTCTAACTCGAGGCCTCTTTCTTTTAGGGCGCCTTCTCTCCACAACCTTGTCTTCGGAATTTTTTTTTTCTCCACATTTACTTCGCTAGTGGAAGTCTAACCTTGCTCATTACAAAAGTAATAAAGGTAGAAATAAATTTCCTCCATCACTCCTTTAGAATTCTTCATTTTCTGGTGTGTATCTTTTCGAACATCAAAACTTTTTTTGTTAGCGTAGCGTTTATAGAAAGCTAAACATTCTTCCTTATGCGATAAAATATGTTCTTCCTCGCTTCCTCATCTTCTAGGTTCGTTGTCTTGTGAGTTGTGAGTTAATTGTATGAGGACATGTTAGTATCCATATTATCCATATTTAACATGCCAAGACTAGTATCCAATCTACGTCTAAATCGTACCAATAGACTGTTTTAATACTTAGGCTTCAACAAGTATCCAACATTACAATATATCTTACCCTTTTATCCCAGAAAAGTATCCATCACGTCCAATATCCAACATGCCTAGACTAATATCCAACCTATGTCTAAATCGTATCCGTGACACCCAAAATAATATTCACAAACAAATGGCGTATGAAACTAGAAGTTACACACCCCAATATTAGTATCTTGCACCCACATATTAGTATCCCAAGACGCCAATCAACATCATTAAATGTCATTTAATGCACACAACCAAACTCAACAACACAAACATATATAATTCAATCCACCTTCACTTTCTTCTTCTTCTACGGTGAGGGCAGCCACACAACCTGAGTCTTCATCAACAAATTCATCTAATGTAGGATCGAGTTCTTCTTCTTTATTTTTCGACATTCGGGTTGTTATCCTTCTTCATCGGCAAAGTGAGTTGATCGCCCAACTCACCGTCGTCGTTGATCAGCATCCTCGAACGTGGACATTTTGGAGACGAAGGATCTACTTGCCAACAAGGAGATGCTCGCCGGAAATGATGATCACCGACGACTCTCGCAGTGGAAGAGCAGAAAAGCAAAGAAAAAAAGAGAGAGAGTGTGGGGTTAGAAAGCCAAAAGTGGTTGGTGGAATTTAATGGCTCCTTTCCCCTTTTTCAGCTAACAAATATCCACCCAAATCTTTCCCCACCTTCTCTAAAAATCCCGCCCAAAATTTTGCCCCCTCCCATGCCAGCCTGTCGGCTCCTCTGTTTGGCGCAGCTTAGGCCAAAAAACCCACCACGGCTCACTTAAATCCATCTCCCTCCTCGTTTGGATCTTTGTTGGGCCTTCGTGGGTGGATCTGGGCCTTGTAAGTATATCCTCACAACAGTTCTTATGTGGAGTTTTTTCGCTCAAATCAGACCAAGAAAATTACAATTTTGATAAAAAGGCATTCACCACATAGAAATCTTGTTACCCTGGGTCGACCCACTGGTCAATTCAGTTTGGCTCAGATCCAATGGGTAAAACAGGCATAGAGATGGCAAACCATTATCTTTCTTCTTCTGCCTCTTGCGCCATTTTTTCCAGCTAGCTGAGCACTGCAATCGTCGATTCTCGATGACATAAGTGGCATCTCTCATAGTTATACTCTCATACTCATATGCTTCCCCCCTCCACTGATCGACA